TTTTTTTTTGTACCAGGGATCGAACTTGGGACCTTGTGCTTGCGAGGCAGGCGGTGGAACCACTGAGCTAAATCCCTGGCCTCCCTAGGTTCACTTTTAAGTGATTTTTTTCTTTTTTGGTGCTGGGGATCGAACTCGGGTCCTTGCGCTTGCACAGTAGGCAGCGAAACCACTGAGCTAAATACCCGGCCCTCTTAGGTTCATTTTTAAAGATACCAATGTAATATTTTCCATTAGAAGAATTTGAGTTTCCTTCACACTGGTGCCAACAATTAGTTAATATCAATCGCTTGGCTAAGATCAAGTGCAATTAGTTAATATCAAAGTATTGATTTATTTGTGACTCTAGAGTAGTATCTGACTGTATGTGTTTTTGATCTAGTGAACCTGAGCATTTTTGTCTATTCGGGTTTTTTGTTAATTGCCTATACATACCTTTAAGTCATTTCTCTGTTGTAAATTTTTTTGGTATTGGGGATCAAACTCAGAACCTTGAGCTCGTGAGGCAGGCACAGTGCCACTGAGCTAAATCCCTGGCCCTCTCTGTAGTAATTTTTAAGATTTTATATTCTATAGTCTTAATCATTTGTTGGTTTTATATATTGAAGGTATCTTCCATTCCGATGTTTTTCTTTTTCACAGAAGTATTTTAATATGGTCAAATATATTACACTGCATGGTTGGCTTTTATCTGACAAGCTCTTCTACCTTCTAGGATTATAAAGATTCATTAAGCTTACAGTGGTACCTTGGTTCATGAACTTAGTTCTTTCCATGATTCTGGTTACAACCAAATTGGAAGCATAGTATGTATGCAAATTGCTTAATGCTATACTGAATTGCAAGCATAGTATGTATATGCTTGCAATTGGATTGCACCCAGAATTGTGGAAAGAATCAAGTTCATTAACCATGGCACTGCTGTAATTTACTTTGCAGCCAGTTCCTGTCCTGGTGTAGGATTAATGTTGTCTCTGTGCCGTATAACAAACGCCACGTAGAAATTGAACTGTCTTGTTACAGGTGATTCAGTGGTGCACCCACCACAAGGATGACCCTCCTCCTCCTGAGGATGACGAGAACAAAGAAAAGCGAACAGATGATATCCCTGTTTGGGACCAAGAATTCCTGAAAGTTGACCAA